CAACTATCCCTTCCTTAATTAGACCATCCATGACCTTCTCTATTTCTTGACGCTTTGCTGGAGCTATTCTCCTTGGAGGGATCTTTATTGGATGCTAGAAGACACTATTACCTCCTAGAAAGTCAGAATTAAGTATTAAGGAATACCACCAGCATGTAGATTGCTTACCAGCTATAGATGAAGGACAGTGGTTAGATAATTGGAAATTATTTAATTCAGTATTGGAAACCTTGTGCTTGGTAGTGATACTGGTAAGCATAACTCGGTAAGCCGAGAAATCGGCTTTGTTAAAGTTAATGGCATTAGATGGGCTGTGTAAAGCGAGAAAGAATAAAAGAGCAAGGCTGGACAATAGCTGATCGAGTATTCAGCAGCCACTGAACTAGTCGAGTTAAATGGTTAGGCTCCATCTAATCAGAACATAGTTTGATTGTAAAGGTGAATATCAAATTGATTTGACGTAGCCAATTGATGAGGTTAGCTGATTACTAAAGTGTTGTAATAGTCAAAATTGGTAATCAAAATTAATAGGTATAGTAAATGTTCGGGAAACAAAGAAGTGAGACAACGACAGCAAGTCCAGAAACGAACTATGTTAGTGTAAAAATGGACAAACGATCTATCAACCAATGACAGTGTGACTATGACTAGAAAGAAGTGCACGAGTTGAGTGTGTGACTGAAAAGAAACAGATTGTGTCATGAATAAAAGGGATTGTGTAAGCCCATGAAAATTTTAAAAAAAGCCCAGATAGTAATGGTATATTGTGATTATACACCAATCTTGTTAAAGAAGAAGGGAAAGTTCACTATCGTAGAGGTAGAAGGTTTCAGAGAAGGAGGAGTGTATGTTATCAAAGAACTAGCAATGACCGATTCATACACTGGATGACACTTTCTGTACCCAGAAGAAGCCTTGAGTGAGGTGGATCGCTGACATGTCAATTGGTTTACAATATATTTACATGGGCTTTGATGGCCTTATGGTGAAGAAACTCTTTGGGAGCAATTCATGTTATGTCATCAGTTAAACAGGGACTATCACAAGATCTATACGAAGCTAAGAGAAAAGGCCAGAATTCTTAGTCAATGGATCGGTCTCCCTTGTATCAACCTGGAAGAGTACAGATGTCCACCGTATTGACGAATGAATTCGTCAGGTGGGATAGACTGTACATACCATCGATAGCCAAAAGAACCCTGTGCTAAGTGGAACCAATATCATATGTCAATTAAAGTTTGTGTGTAAAGGAAATCTATATAA